CTTCACTTCCAACTCCAAGGACCATAAATGACAAGGTAATGATAGAAGAGGGTTCGGGAATACCTACTAATTCTCGGGATGTTACACCTATCTAGCATACAAATTTGGTACATGAATCATAAAACTAGTTAGAAGAATACCTCTGATTTGTAGCTTGTAGTCGTTGGCCTTTCAAGAGCTTAGCACCTCAAGTGTGATGCCTCAAACAAGTCACAAACACCATGAACAAGTGGAGGATAATGAGAGAGAGACTAGGAGTACACAAAATCGGCTAGGTATTCACCTTAGGAGTCTTAGGGCCGATTTTAGCAAGCTAGGGGTCCATTTTTTAATTTGGAATTCCTAGGGTTTCAACTTGTCAACCCTAATTCACTTGGGCTTTTAATCCAATAACTAATTAGCCTTTTGGACCAACTCTTCATGTACTCTCACAAAGATTTCGTCCAATCCTAATCAACATGGATCTTTAGCCCAAACTATAAGTATTACTGATTTACTTAATCAGTCCTCGTAAATTTAAGCAGTCTCTTTCGATCACTAAATTAATTCCAAATTAATTCTTGATCAATACTAATTAAATAATATGATTTCTCAATTAATATATTATTCTTATAATATATATTAATAAATCACAAAAAACCTCTTTCTTAATTATCCATCCTATCAGATTGTTCTAGTGAAGCAACCCGAAATGGACCATGCTACTCTCGGGTCAAGTACATACCAATTATAGTTATGGGCTTAGACACCTAATCCAGCACCTTTATCCATTCTGTTGTATACCGATTCCACAACCACCATCAGTACTCCGATGTCGACAGTCAATGTATCTGATACGGGGGCATATGATTTCGGTGTTACTGTCGGTCCAAGCACTTCCACAGCTTCTATTCTACGCGAAGATGATCCATATATTCTTTATGGGGATGATCAGGATGACTTTCGAAACTATGTTTTTAGTCCCTTCACAGTTCATCAGGCAAGTGACGATGACGAAGCCCCAATGATGAAAGGGCAGTTCAAAGCCCTCAATGAAAAATTGGATTCTCTACTGGAGTCTTCTAAATCCTCGTCAAACTATGAGTACATGCTCAAGACTCATCAAGCCACAATTGAGACATTAACGAAGGAGAATGCTAAAGTGCTTGCTGCATCCATAAAGGCAATTGAAGATTCTGAGAAAATTGTTAATGAAACGACCAAAAAAGTCGAAAAACTACTTGCTGAAGTTATGAAGTTCATGGCTAACTTTCGAACCTCTTCGGATCAAAACACTACAGCCGCCAACCAAGTCATTACGAGTCTCGTAACCACTCTTCAGACTGAAAAAGAAGCTCTTTCTAAGGTTCGTTCCGACATCAAGGTTGACAACGCCGAGATGAGTGCTTCTATTGTGTCCAACTAAAATATTTTGGAAAACCATAGAATGGCTGACATGGCAGAGATTTGAATTATGATTAAATTTGATTATTTAATTAATTCAAATATGTTTTCTCTGCAAGTTTTTCAGCTATAAATAGACCCTCCCGGTCTTCATTAATTCTGTCACTTGCGTCCTTGCACTATGAGATTTCAAGTTTTGCAAGTCTCTTCTCCGCTCTCCTAATTTTCTGGTGTTTAGTCTTTTGGGTGTGATCCTTTACAAACATTCTCTTTTGGGTGCTAGAACCTTCCAAAAACCTCAAGTTTTTTCGAGATCTATAAGGATTCAAGAAGCAAATTTGATTTTGTTTAAAGGTTAGTAATCCTACCTGGTATTGTTTAATATTTTGAAAGTAGATTGCTATAAATTAGTAAAACCTAGATCCTAGGTCGCATGTACACTTAGGGTTATTTTAATTGTTTCCGTTGCCAAATACGACATTGCTTAATGCTGAGGTTGGTGAAGCTTTTGCCAATGTCAACTCACAATGGAGTTGTCATTACTGAATCTACAATTTCTAAACGCAATAGGTGATAACTCAACACAATCAATAATCGAAATGTTGGAACGATTAAGACTCTTAATGAAAAACTTAATCTACAAAAATTACGGATGCCTACATGTTGATTTTCTAAAAAAAATGTGATGAAGATTAACTAACATATAATAACAAAACTTACTAAAAATCCAAACTCGTTCTTCAGATTATGTTCTCCCACAACTTCTTTATATTTTAAAGCCAATTTTTTAGTTTTCCGAATTAATTCATGAATTTACAAAATTGATACCATCTAATAATAAATTCAAACCTCAAACAAAAGAACCTAAAAGATAATTTCGAAACTCACATAGACCTTTAATTTTTTTATTTTTTTTTCGAAAAATGATGATTATTAAAAGAATTTGAAAAATAAATGATTATTTAATGAAAAAATTAATTTTTATACAATATTTTATTAATAAGTAAAGAAAATAAAAATAAAAATATATCAATTAAAATGAAAAATAATCATCATATTTGGGCAATTCAATTTGAGTAAATTACACAAATCGTCCCTCGTGCAGGTGCTAAAATGCACGTTGAGTCCCTATTTTCAAAAATTAACTCGTATCGTCCCTTGTTTGGTTAAAAGTTGCACATGTCATCCCTCCGGACATAAAAAGACTATTTTACCCTTAATTATTTCTTTTTTAATTTTCTTCTATTTGTTTATAAACTTCAGATTAAAAGAAAAAGAAAAAAATAAAATAAATATTCACACTCAACACGCCCACCCCTCCCCTTCCCTTTCCCCAACTTCGTCTTCCCCATTTTCACTATGTCCTTTTCCTCACCATCGAATCCAACAACCCATTTCTCATCTATTTAGTCTCCACCGATCGTTTGCGTGTGGTATTTAGAGTGTGTGCCGAGCGTCTGGGGCTACCACCACCCCGGTCTTCCTCATTTGACGCCGCCTAGGGTTTTCTCTGCAAGTCGAAACCATTATCAGCATACCTGCAATTTGTGATTCTAATTTTGTGTTTTTATCCCCAAAGCAAGTCTTGACACAAACAACGTCTTCTTCTTCTCCCTCCAATCAATCACCAGATGTGTCTTCTTCTTCCTGATCTTGATACAATCGACAGTCACCAACAAGAAAATTAAAATCACAGTCTTTCCTTCTTTTCTTTCCTTAATCGAGAAATCACCCAGGTACATATCAAGAATATAACATTCCTCGCTAATGTGTGTGTTGTTTATCTCAATGAAGTGAAGCAGACAATGATTGGAAGTTAGGGGTAAGAAATCGATGAACAGGGGATTTCCCCTTTCCTTTTGTTTTTTTTTTTGTGTGTTAACACGATTTGCATAAAGGTGCTGGCTTGGTAGGGATGTGATGGTTAATTTTGTGGTTGGATGTGATTACAGAAGGAGAAGGAGGTGATGATGGTGAAATATGTGTAGGTGTTCACATTGGCTGTTGGTGGGTGGATAGAATGGTGGTTGTACTTGTAATGAATTTTGGGTGAGGATGAAGGTCTTTGGTTATTTATGGCTTATAGATGGAGAATGGTGGTTCTAGTATAGATTTTGAACGACGGTTGTGGACGGGGGTGGTGATGGTCCCTCGTGATGATTTTTCAGTCAGTAAATTTAGGGGGGAAAGGGTTGAGAAGGAGGGGGAGGAGGGGGGTTCGGGTTTTTTATTTTATTTTGTATATTATAAAATTGTAAGAAAAAACAACATAAATCAAAAAAATAAATAAAAAGGGTAGAATAGTCATTTCATGTTTCACAAGGGATCAAACGTGCAAAACTAAACTAACAAGGGATGGCATATGCAACTTTTGACCAAACAAGAGACGATCCGAGTTAATTTTTAAAAATAGGGACCGAATGTGCATTTTAGCACTTACACGAGGGACGATTCGTGTAATTTACTCATTCAATTTTAACCGAACTTCCCCTAGGTTTATAGATGATTCTAGAAATTACTATTTCAAGTCCTATGGTTTTCCTATTGTCAAAACAATGTACAACAATTGATGCTTATGTTACAACATCGGAAGATTCCCCTCTTCTGTAAACTCTATGGCTGGATCATAGAACAAAGAAACTCAGGAAGGTAACCAAAAAATTTCAGAGCCAAACCAAAATTCCCTCAACCTGTCATTACTTTCCTCACCTTTACTCCTCCTCGTGTTCTCTCTACAAGGCTTCATCGCTCTACATTCAGTAAGTTCTACTCTACGTAAATCCCTCAGCTTTTTCCCTCCTTTTTTGGTAACATTGGCGCATTTTTTGTGAAATGTGTCGCATATGATTTCATCTAGGGTTTTGACTCTTTCGTGCTGCTTCGAAGTTTTTTTTTCTCTCACTATTGGTAACATTTCGGTGTATTTGGTGTTTCTTACACGACTTGATATTAGTTATAATTTTGGATTATGCCATAGATGATTCTTTCGTGTTTTACTTGTGCTAAATTTTGGATTTGTCGTTCAAAATGTTCTTAGATACCCTGCAGTTTGATTCGATTGACTTAGTTTCGCCGTAATAACTTAGGTTTTGATGTCTGAGAGGTTAATTTGTTCTAACCTGATAACGGGAGTTTGTTGCATTATTAGGATTCATGATTTTCGATTTGCAATACGAAAAATTGTTTTGGGGAGCATGATATTACTATGAGTAGCATATTCATATATACACTCATGTCAACTTCTATATTTTTGGAATCTAAACGCATAAATTTGTGGGATATAGTCTCTATGTAAGAAATATCAATGTACATTCATATATTATTATATTACAACATTGTCCTTTCAGTTTTTCCAAATTAAAGCAATGCACTTTGACAAATCTACCCAAATATAGCATTGTACATTCTGTTTCTTTTCTTATGATTGGGTGAAAATTGCTTTATATTTGTTTGACATCACTATAATATAATAAAGTAATAAACAAATCAATGAAAGTACATTCCTATTTCTTTATCTGTTTATTATTGCATCTGATTTTCATTTCTTTCTATTACAGCATTCTTATAAATGAAGGCTCACGAGTAATTTGTATTCCATTTTCCAAATCATTATCACAATGGAATGCAACAAAGATGAAGCAATCCGAGCCAAAAATATTTCTGAAAATAAAATGAAAAACAACGATTTCGAAGGGGCCCGCAAATTCGCTTTAAAAGCCCAAAAACTCTTCCCTGAACTGGATAACATTTCCCAAATCATAACTGTTTGTGATGTCCATTGTTCATCTCAAAAAAAGATAAGCAATTCCCAAAAGGACCTTTATGGAATCCTTCAAGTTGAAAACTTAGCAGATGAGGCAACAATCAAGAAACAATATAGAAAACTCGCACTCATTCTTCACCCCGATAAAAACAAATTCCCAGGGGCAGAATCGGCATTTAAACTCATCTGTGAAGCAAATATGACCCTTTCTGATAAAGAGAAACGGTATTTATACGACTTTAAATGTAAAGAATCCGCAAATCCCACAATTCAAAAACCGCAAAGTCAAAAGTCAAAAGCGGATACGAATGGTCAAAAGTCAACCTTTTGGGTGAATTGCCCTTTTTGTCTGATAAAGTATGAGTATGATCAAGCATTTTTTACCAAACAAATTCGTTGTCCAAAATGCTTCAGACTCATTATGGGTTTTGATGGTGGACCCCAACACCAACGGTCAACCGATGGGTCAACTGGTGCTGGTGGTTCGAACCAAGGGTCGGATACGGGTCAACCCGGAAAACAAGAGGTTGAGAAAACTAGCAAAAGGACACGGGTTGTTGATGAAAAAAGCCCGGGAAAAAAGACAAAAGTATCGAGTTCCAAAATTGAAGAAAAGAATGATGAGGTGGAAGCAGTGTATATAGACTGTAAAGATCCGGAGTTTACTAATTTTGATAAGGAAAAACAGAAAGAATGTTTTGAAGTTGATCAAATTTGGGCTTGTTATGATCCGATTGACGGGATGCCAAGATTCTATGCACAAATCCGAAAAGTTTTTAAATCCGGGTTTCGGGTACGGATCACTTGGTTAGAAGCGGATCCGCATAACCCGCCCGAGGTTAAATGGGCCGAAGAAGGATTACCGGTTGCTTGTGGTAAATTCGTTCGTGGTGAAACCGAGGAAACACAGGACTCTCTCATGTTCTCTCACCGGATCGCGTTTTCAAACGGGAAAAAACGGTTTTCGTATTTTATTTACCCTAAAAAAGGTGAAATTTGGGCTCTTTTTAAAGATTGGGATATAAATTGGAGCTCAGATCCGAAATCCCATATGAAATATAAATTTGAAATTGTCGAGGTTCTTTCCGATTTCGAAAATGAAAACAATTATGGTGTTGTTGTTGCTAGTATGGTGAAAGTAAAAGGTTTTGTGGGCTTGTTCCAGAGAACAAACCCACCACAGCTCGTTGGGCGGAGGATTCCGCCCAACGAGCTGTTCAGATTCTCTCACCGCGTCCCGTCAGTAAAACTGACGGGCACAGAACGAGCAGATGTCCCTGTCGGAGCTTTTGAGCTCGACACCGCGTCTCTCCCGGATGACCTAAACGAATTCTATAACGAACCGACAAAAAACGAAGAATTTTCGTGTATTCATGATTTTGAATCGGATAGGAGGAGTTGGAAGTTTCGCGAGGGTGAGATATGGGCGATTCGTAAACCCGAGGACCAAAATCGTAAATGTTACGCACAAATTAAAAAAAATCGAATCCTCTTTACATGTAGATCTACTCGAATTATGCACATCTAACGACATGATTAGGCCAAACGCGTGTGGTTTGTATAAAGCTTCAAATGGTGGAAGGCGGATAATTTCTCGGGATTCTTTTTTTGTTTTTTGTGAAAGCGGAACTTAATGGAAGGAATCGGTTTAATATATATCCAAATGAAAAGGAGATTTGGGTGTTATACAGTAAGCAGGATAAGGATTCCACGTGTACATTTGCTGATGTGGAAGGTGAAAGTGAGGTTGTTGAAGTTGTTGAGAGAAATGGAGATATGATAAAGGTTATATGTCTTTCACGTGTGGATGGTTATAAGTCGGTTTTTAGGGCTTCTGAGGTTGAAAAGTCAAAATCTAGGGTTTTGGAGATACCATGTGGTGAGTTTAACAGATTCTGTTATCGGGTCCCGGCTTTTCTGTTAACAGATGAGGAAGATGGGAAGTTAAGAGGTTGTTGGGAGCTTGATCTTTCATGTGTTTCAGGTAATTTACATATTGTTTTGTTTGTTATTTCATTCTACTTTATGGTCAACTGATAATAACAATGGTCAATATGCAGGCGTTTCAGTTGCTTTTTGGTGATCAAGTCTTAAAATTTTTGGTTTAGTTTTTAGGTCGCATCAAAAGCTAGTTCTAAATATAAATATAATAGTTTATGGTTTACATTATCTAATTGTATGTTGGTTTAAAAAATGAACAATATAACATGTTAAGTTGTTAATCTTTATACTCAAAAGCGCATTAAAGTAATTGTTAAGTGTGTTTCATTTGTATGTTTGGATGATATCACAAAGTAATTGCAAATAAATTTTTTTATATTAGATGTTTGGGTAATCTGAATGTATGAAGTTTTGAAAATCACTATGTTAATTTGTATTTAAAATTTGGATATGAATGTATATAATGATGAGTAGATAAAATGTAATATAGTTTAGCATTTGATAGTGCTGAATGATATACTACTATTTGAGAGATAACACATTCAATGATTATTTTGATGCCCCCATTTATCTTCTGTTAAAGATGAATGAATTAATGTTTGAGAAGTGAGCAAAAAAGCCTTCGAAAAATCTGTGAGCTTGACTTTTAACACTGTTGGAATTTGGTTTATGTTTTCTGCTTAAATTTTGATTGTACTTTATTTGAAAAATGTTTGTATTTTCAAATAAGATACATTATAAGATTTACGTTGTGTAACGAATGATTAAACAAATAAATGATGAGAAGAAAGTTGAAACAACGCTGTAATTTTTTCCTCTCATTAGCACAAACTCCAAAAGACATAATCACATTTGGTTTGACATTCTGAAAATTCAATCATACAGGATAGGTTTTATAAACAAAATAAAAAGAAAAAAGAAAAAGAAAAAGAAAGAAGAAAGAAAATCGTAGCATATTTGAAAAGGAGCACTTAATGGATAAATGCATCATATTTCCACTTAACCCATTAAGGTGATGTTATGTTTCTTTTTGACTTAATCAATATGATACTTAAGAGGTTTAGAAATATCTTCTGTTTCTTTTTTACTTGAATGCTAAAAAAAGGAGTTCGTGGATTAAGTTAAGAATGGGATGTCCTATATGTTCTCAGTGATGATTTCCAAATTAATTTTAATTAAATGGCCCTCATGTTCCGTCAAAAAGAAACTCACGTCTCCAGCAAAATAGGAATATCTCTAACTCTATTTTTTTAAGATAATGAAATCCTTATTAATTTCTTACTGGAAAGCGGATTATCTCTTCATATATCCCTCTTTCTTCCTCCCAAAAATCAGTGATCATTGTTACATATTTGGATCATTATATATCGTGATCCATTGTTCTTCTTTTCAACTTATTGTTTAAGGCTTGAGGAAAACGAGAGTATTACGTGCATCATGGGCCTTAGATATGGCTTTTCAGGCTTGAAAAAAGAGAAAATAACCACTTCATTACACCTTCTTAGGGTGGAGATATCCATATTTTCCAACTCAGTCAACCCACTTGCCACATCAAACTTTTGTTTATAGTTTTTTTTTCCATCTTTTCTAACCCACAATACATGAAAAGTTGGAAACTCATATTTTCCCAACAAACTCAATCAACTTGCCATGTCACTATTATTATATTAATTAAACTAGAAAATTCAAAATAAAATAAAACATAATATTTTTTTTAATTAAAAAATACACGATAATTAAAAAAAATGATAATAAAGGAACCACCCCGCACATAACACCTCATGTCAAATGATCATATATGGATTGAGAAAAAATTGCATATAGGTTGGACTTACATTTTGGCTCGATTTGTTTGGATTTGCCATGAAAATCCATTGAGGGGAATTGTAGATGTGTGGAATGTAACCGAGAGAAATTGGAATGGAATTGAATTAACAATTTGTAGGAACCCGAGACCTCCAATCTAAAAGGCAAAGTCTCTAGCAAGTGGATTAGTCTCACGTTGGTCAACAATTTGTAGTTCTAGCTTTTAAAATATTAGATACTATTAAATTAACAATTTGTAGTTTTAACTTAAAGTGTTATGTTCTAGTGTCATTTTCTTTTCCAACCTATTATAATTTTTGTGGTACTGTATCATGCGTTTTGCCTCTACCTAGAGCCCTAGATAGTTTAGACGTGGATGTTACGAATTTTGTTTGTAGTTTTGTCCCACACGGTTTTGCTTTTTTTTTTATTCTTAAGTCTATGGGGAGTGGGGGTCGTTAATTTTGCTAGGCCACGACCCAGGGCAACAAGTTTTAGTGGGGCATCAAATTTTAGAGAGCTGTTATGGGTATACTTTTTGGGCTAAAGCTTAATAAAACATATGGTTCTCTCACTCTCATGTTAAGAAAGCTATTGGTGATCCTAATTTTCCTCTTTCTAAAAATCCGAATTGTTGAAGTGAAGTTTTCCAATCAAGGATGCCATTACTATTTAGTGTGTCTGGGTTTTGTTTTAACTGATACCAATAATTGAAAGATCAGAGATTTATGTGCCATTTGGTATGGCAAATATAATTTCAAGTTGTTTTTTGTAGGATTTTGTTTCTATCTCAAGTAAATGTTTCTTACTAATTATTTAGTAGCTATCAGATCTTATTCAAATGTTAATTAACTTTTATTTTAATTGCTAATTGCAATTTAGTCAATTTAAGGCATCAAGTGCTCAAATAGGTTTTAGAATTAATTACCTCTTAATAGTGTTACTTTTTAAAAACAGTTATAGTTGTATAGACAACTGTAAGTGAAAGAAAATTTAATATCCTCCTATATTTTCTTCTTACTTATCCTCCTACTCATATACGATAATGACATGAGTATACCACTAATTCTTTCTCTTAATTCCCTCACTTGATTTTGACGCTTGTCTTGATCTAATGAGTAGGAGGATATTTAATTTCTTGAAATGAAATAAAGCGATATTTTGAAATTGGTAATTAGAGTATTCCTACTTGTGTAGTTATTACTGTTAACCGAAGAACGTAATTGATATGAAAAAATAGGTGTAATGAAATTTGTGTATTCATATTCAGCTGACAATCCTTTATTATTTACAAAGGCCTACTGAGTTAGTACTAATAAAAAACCTTTAACCTTCGGACTTTGTTTGCTTTAATGGTTTCTTTCGTATATGTATGTGCTACCTTTGTCATATGTCGTGCATATGGTTGTTATAGTGGTCAACTTGTGATTTAGTAGCTTAAACTTGAAGTGAGTTAAGTTTAGTAAGGGTTATATATTTGAATTTAAACTGTATATTTTCTTGTTCTTTTTATGTTTATTGTCATATTTAAAGGTTTTCAATTATGTGATATACTATGTACAAGTTGGAGGTGCAATGGGGAAATTGTGCACTTGGAAATTATTTGTGTTGTTAATTATATAGGTTGGTAGGATCATCAAGTGTATATGAAATTAACTTTACTTTTATTAAAGATGTGAATGTCCAGATGCATTTCCTTTAATGTTAATATTATGGGTTTTAGTTGATTACTTTCCCGAAATGGGAGAGGATGAGAGCTTGAGTCATCCAACTTCGCATTCGCCTGCAATTTTTGTTGAATGTATTTTCCTTTGGGCTTTCTGTGATACGTGATACATGATAGTGATATGTGCATGATGGTAATCACATTTTTTCTATGCATAAATAGGGCATTAATATGTCTTTTTGGCCTGGGCATACAATACCTTAGGACCAGCCCTTAGGTGGGGCTTTGACCAACTTTTGACCTCAACACTTATTCCTTTGACCATTATTCTTTTTATATAATTTAAACCACTTAAAAAAAAGATCCTGTTTTTTTTTTTTATATTATTATTTTATTTTATTTTATTTTATTTTATAAATTTAAAAATATCAAAATTTCTTCCATCCATTATAAATACACACTTAAAACTCAACATTTCAGTATTTCACCACACACAATATTATTCTTTCTCTCAAAAAAACTTTCAATCCTTCAAGACAACATGTCTTCACCTAGCCAAACCAAAACCCCAAGAAGAAACAAAACAATCTTAAAACCCCAACAACACATCTTCACCAAGCCTTTCGTCACCGACTTTTTTTTCGACTCTCACTCGATCAACCCTTCTATTCACCCGCAAGTTACCATTATCCGACCATAGCTCGACATTTGTATCCACTTCATCAATATCATTCTCAATTCCAATCCTAACTTGTACCCTATTTTCAATCCCAACCCCAAACTGATATCGAATGCTAACTCGTACCCGATCCAAATCTTGAATTTGAGCCTTTTAAGTCGGTTCAAGAAACCCAATTCTTTTCCCAACCCCAAACTAATTTCCTTTCTCAATTCCAACCCTAACTCCAAACAGATTTCCAATCCCAACCCCGATGTCTATTCGATGAGTCTACTGATTCTTCTGATGAATGGCCTTTTAAACATGTTCAAGAAATCAAAGTTGACCCAAAGGAAAAAGTAAATAAAAAGCAAGGACACAATTTCAAGGTTTACCAATAAAGAAGAGAAGGCATTAACGCAAACATGAATAGACATATCAGAGGAATCAACAATGGTGACGGCCAAAGTGGCGAAACGTTTAAAATAAGAGTTTGGAAAAGTTTTGTGTCTGAATGAATAATGAGTATTGCTCGACTAGTCAAGTATACTCGAAATGGAGGACCACAAGCCAAACTTCAGTGGACTTCAATGAAATCTAAATGAATGTGACTCGTAACCCGCAAAACGGTGCAAATGAAATGGATATCATAGCAAAAGCTCATCAAATTTATAAGGAAAAAACCGGTAAAACTTTTGCAAATGAGGCATTTTGGAAAGTCATGAAGAACAAACCAAAATTGCTTGCTCTAAAAAGATCTGATGATTTTGCCGGTATGTCAAAAAGAAGCGAAACTTCTGAGTCAATCCATAGTCACTCTTCTGATGCCCATATCATGATAGACCTAAAAAACGACGATCCATATGAAGTACCAAATCGTCCTATGGGACGAGATTAAGCAAAAAATAAGTTAAAATGTGTTCAAGGTTCATCGATGTGAACTGGAGGCGATGCAGAAGGAGCTCCAAGGGTTAGAGAGTAAGATCAATTAATTATTGGAAGCAGAAAAAATAAAAGAAAAGAATCTTGCACTAAAACTCTTTTTTAAATATGAATCGAAGTTGTCTGAAAGGATCGTCTGATTGTGGCAAATGCAAAGGCAGATATTGCAAAAAAATATAATTGAGATTAGCACCAGGATTTATTCGTTATGTTTGTAACACCCAGTTTCCAGAACAGATCGGTTTAGG